AGGATGGTGGTAGCCTCCAAGCCAGGCATGGAGTGGGGCAGTTGGCATCATCTGACGTGAGGATGGTGGGTGCCACCCAACATGAGGATGGTGGTGGCCTCCAAGCCAGGCATGGAGCGGGGTAGTTGGCATCATCCGACCTGAGGATGGTGGGTGCCACCCAACATGAGGATGGTGGTGGCCTCCAAGCCAGGCATGGAGCAGGGCAGTTGGTGGCACCCGACCTGAGGATGGTGGTGGCCTCCAAGCCGGGGATGGAACAGGGCAGTTGGTGCCACCCAACATGAGGATGGTGGTGGCCTCCAAGCCAGGCATGGAGCAGGGCAGTTGGTGCCACCCAACATGAGGATGGTGGTGGCCTCCAAGCTGGGGAGAGACCTAGCAGTTGGTATCACCCAATGTGAGAATGGTGGTGGCCACCAAGCCAGTCATGAACCAGGGCGGTTGGTGCCACACAACGTGGGGATGGTGGTGGCCTCCAAGCCAGGCATGGACTGGCACAGTTGGTGCCATCCAACATGGGGATGGTGGTGGCCTCCGAAATAGGCACCAAGCAGGGTGATTGGTGTCCCTCAGTGTAGGGTTGGTGCCACCCAACATGGGGATGGAGGTTGCCTCCAAGCCAGGCATGGACCAGGGCAGTTGGTGCCACCCAGCATGAGGATGGTGGTGGCCTCCGAAGCAGGTCCATGGTCCATGGGAGATGGTGCCCCACAACATGCACTTGACCTGAGGGGTGTATAACAGTGTCCCCAAAATGGGGTGCTGCCCCCCAAAGCAGGTCTGGTCCTGGAGGGGACAGTGTCTCCGTAGCACCCCATGGGTGACGGTGCCCTATGTCACCCCCAGGGTCGCAGACGAACCTGAGAGAATCGGGGGACCTGCGCTCACAAGGTAGGTGCCACCACCCCGGGGTGTCCGCCCACTCAGGTGTCACAGTGGTGATGCCCAGGTCATGCCCAAGGGGGGACCCTGATGCCCGTCATGACGTCCCCAATACTCACACTATGCCCAACGGGTGTCCCCCATGCTCAGTGGGTGTCCCCAGTGCCCACTGTGATGTCCCCAGTGTCCAGGTCACGTCCAATGAGTGTCCCTACTGGCCATCCTGATGTCCCTGATGCCCATGCCATGCCCAACGGGTGTCCCCATGGCCACCATGGCGTCCCCGATGACCATGCTATGTCCAACAGATGCCCCCAATGCCCAGTACATTGTCTCCTATGCCAGGCTGTGCCCAGCGGCTGTCCCTAGTGTCCCCCATGGTGTCCATGATGTCCAGCAGGTGTCTCCAATGTCCATGCTGTGCCCAGCGGGTGTCCCCAGTGCCAGGCTGTGCCCAGTGGGTGTCCCCAGTACCAGGCTGTACCCAGCGGGTGTCCCTAGTGTCCCCCATGGTGTCCATGAGGTCCATGCCATGCCCAACAGGGTGTCCCCAATGTCCATGCTGTGGCCAGCGGGTGTCCCTAGTGTCCCCCATGGTGTCCATGGTGTCCAACAGGGTGTCCCCAATGTCTGTGCTGTGCCCAGTGGGTGTCCCCAGTGCCAGGCTGTGGCCAGCGGGTGTCCCTAGTGTCCCCCATGGTGTCCAACAGGGTGTCC